CCTGCCTTTGCCTTCCAGGTGCTGGAATTACAGGCATGGGCCACCATGCCCAGCCATATTGGAAATTCTTACTGGTAGAGCTACGTGGCTGATTAATAGAAATGAAAAATGACATTGCTACAAGAATAAATATCATTGTCTATCTTTCCAGAATGAGGTCTGGGGACGGTTGTGGTACTAGAAATAAAGGTTGTCCTTGGTTACCTAATGCCTAACACTTCTAAACCACTTTAGATTTCTTTGTGAGTCCAAAAGTATGTTCTATCTTTCTGGAAGAAAAATACTTGTTAAAAATGTAATTTCAGAGGCCGGAGAGATGGCTCAATGGTTAAGAACACTGGTTGTTCTTGCAGAAGACCCGGGTTCAAATCCCAGCACCCACATGGCAACTAACAACTGTCTGTAACTCCAGTCCCAGAGGATCCGACAGCCTCTTCTGACCTCCTCGGGCATTGCACGACAGGGGAGCACTTATCTACGTGCTAGCAATACATGCGTGCACATTATAAAAAAAGAAATAAAAAATGTAATTTCAGAGGATTCAGGACTCCCTGAAACAAAACCTATTGTGTCATTTAAAAAATTGTGCAGGTTTTGTTGTTGCTGTTGTTGCTACCTGCGCCCCAATACCTACCACATGTATCCTGTCCTATGTAAAAAGCTTGTGAAAGTACTTTCTAATATTTGCAACTGTTTAAGAAAAACAGCATCTCCTAGTGGTTAAGAGCACATTCTTGATGGGCATGGTGGCACACACCTTTAATCTCAGCAGAGGCAGGTGGAGCTCTTGAGTTCAATGCTAGCCTGGTCTACATAGTGAGTTCCAGGTCAGCTGGGGCTTCAGGGAGACTGTCTCAAAAAGACAAGAAAAAATTCTCTGGAACCAGTCTGTCTGGATTCAAATCTGGTTTCCTACGACTACCCGTATGATGTTGGGCAAGCTCTTAGCTGCTTCATAATTATGAAATGGAGATAATAATCTTTCAGTGGGTTATTATAAATATAGTTAATATATTTATTAACTATACGTGTTATTATTACCAGGTGTGATTATTTGACAGTGTTACTGTTTATGCTTAAATACCTGGTCAAGTGAGGTTCTCTAGGTTTCATCTTGCCTAGAGGAAGGGTGTGTTTCTAATATGTGCAAAGGCACTATAGAAAGAGCAAACACCCACACACATTACTTCACAGAATATGCCAAGATTAATTTTCATACCGGCATGCCTCTTGATCTAATTTCTGTGAAGAGATGGTACTTAGACTTTTTAAAAAATATTTTATTATTTTTATTGTACATGTATGAGTGTATTGCCTGCATGTCTGTGAGTGCACCTGTGTCGTGCAGTGCCAGCGGAGGTCGGAAGAGGGCTTCAGATTCCCTTGGAATGGAGTTAAGGATGGTTTGTAGTCACCATGTGGGTGCTGGGAATCAAACCCAGGTCCTCTGCAAGAGCAGTCAGTGCTCTTAACCGCTGAGGCATTTCTCCTGTCCTGGTACTTAGACTTTCATGAGAAAAAGAGGGAGATACATACCTTCTGTAGGCCTCTTCTTTGGTTTTTTTTGAATCGGTCTCACTGTGGAGCTTAGGCGGGCCTGAAATTTGTGCCTTCTGCCTCTTCCTCTGTGTATGGGGATTATGGAAACACTACAATGTCTCAATATAGAGCTTCTCTGTATCCCAATATTTGACACCACTTTGTTTCCAAACAGGGATACTGCTCCTCTTGTCCTCAATGTGACAATTCACTTTGCATAATAATCTTTTTCTCTGTCTTACTATTTGTACTATTTTAAGTTATAAATTAATAGAGGTTATTTAGCCAGTCTTGTTTCTCCACCCAGTTAAAAGAAAGGGGGAGGGGCGCTTAGTGGTAGAGTGCTTGCTTTGCATGTGTGAGGCCCTGGGTTCAATTCCAGTGTGGGAGACAGAGAGAGAAAAGATCATCTTAGACTTTTTAAAATACTTTCCCAAATCCCATCCCCTTCCCTCTCCTGTCAAAGGTAATAATTATCCTGTTGGCTTAGCTTTCCTTTTCCTTTTTAGCTTTATTGCATGTTTATTCTTAGACAATATTAGTTTTATGTGCTTTTGAAACTGTAAATGGAAAGTTTATGTAAGAATGTACGTACATGTTTTTCATTTTTTTAAAAAAATTGGCTTTTGTTTTTTAAAAAAAATATTTTTATTTTATGTGTATGAGTGTATTGCCTGCATGTAGCTAAGTATACCTGTCTCATGCAATGCCCATGGAGGTCAGAAGAGGGTGTTGGGAGTCCCCTTATTTATGTTTTAAATGCATATGTTTCTGGAGAATATATGCTTAAGAGTTTGCTGAGTTACAGGAAACACATATCTTTAGCTTTACTGGGTAATGACAAATTAATTCCCAAAGTGATCATATTAATTTATACTCCCATCATTAGATTCAAGCTGTCCTTTATTTTCACTTATTTAAGAAGTATGTATTATATTCACTCCGGAGGCAGAGGCAGGCAGCTCTCTGAGATCTAGGCCAGTCTGGTCTACATAGTGAGTTGGCAGGCCATCTGGGGCTACAGGGAGACCCTGTCTCAAAAAGATGAAAAGCCAGGTATGTATAGGAGGCTGGTGAGATGGGTCAGAGGGTAGAGGTGCTTTCCACCAAGGCTGACAACCTGAGTTTGATCCCTGGGAAGGCAAGAACCTAGTTCTGCAAGTTATTCTTTGACCTCCATGTGTGTGCTGTGGCTTGTATGTCATGTTCCCCCCTCCCCCATATAGTACACACAACACTAAATAATTTTTTTAAAGTTTAAAGAAATATATATTGGGTACTTGGTACAGGAAATGAAAGGACAAAAAGCCCTGCTCTCAGGTAGTTCTATGTTTTAGTGGCAAAAAAATAACAGAGTCATATATAGTTTATGGGGCAAACATAATTAGGGATTGGGCTTTCTTCTTGCCCTTACATCCTTATGAAAATTAGAGTCTAAAGGATTGAAGGATTAATGAGGAAGGCCTATGAATCTTGTAAATGGCATAAACAGATTTAGTATGGGATTAGTACTGTTTTCAAGTAATTATGGCAATAAAGTTGCCAATGTTGGGCACAGGGTCTTTTTAGGAGCACTTCTGGGCTCCCTCTTCATTCCTATTTAATCTACCTTAGAAGCTGTAAAGAATGATGTGAGGAGGCTGGTGATGGGTGGTGGTTTGGAAAGTTGGAGTCCTCTTTGACTCTTCATGTAATAGTTTGAGGGGGAAGGGGCGTGGCTGACTTGTCTTAAACTTGTGGCAGTGTGATGGTCTCTTAATTCAGGAATCCTTGGCGGTCTAGTGCTTGTTTGACATTGAGTTTGGAGGGCTGACGGTTATTCTGAGCCTAAGGACCTTTCAGTTTCTTCTTGATTCTTAAGCAAGGAGGAGTGGTTTTTGCCTAGAGTATGTGGATAGAGCCTCATTGATAAATTTGTTATTTATCAATTTACCTAGTATATGCCTAGAGCCTCATTGATAAATTTGTTATTTATGTGTTTATTTTTTTGCCAGTTTGCTGGACCTGAACTATTAGCTTATTATAGTTTTTAACTATATTACCCAGTTCTCTTTTAAATGTCAGACTTAGTTATATAATTTTAATTTCATGATTTGATGTTTAATTACCTCCATCATAACTAGACGCCAAGATTTAACCTAGAAATTGAATTTTTTATTATGGGGCCTCTTGACACCAGATCTTTAGTGAAATTCATTATTCCCTACTGTAGTACCAAGTATGTCCTTGATTCATGAACTCAAGAGCTGAATTTGCTGCCTTCAGCCTCACAGTTACCTGACCTCATAAAAAGCACACACATGCATGTTGACTCTTTCATCTCCTTTGGGGCTCCACCAAAATATAGCCTCATTTTTATAGCATTGTCAGAGGCTCATTTCTTTGCCTCTGCCATTTGCCTTTCAACTTACCATTGTAAAATCTAGGAATGACAGCTATTCTGAGAGTCTGTAAGGGAAATTGTTTCACTGAGTGCAGCCAAGGCTGTAAATGTTCAGGGTCGTGAGGAAGTGTAAACATGATGGTAGTATTTCTAAATTCCAGTTTGTTTACTATGCTTTTTCCCAGAGTATCTTGGTTCTGTTGCTTAGGATTGTGCTTTACTTACTTTCTCAAACTGACAGTGTGTATCATCCTGTAAAGCTAAATATGGACAATGAGATTTGCCCCATTGGTTCCTTTTTCAACTTTCAGAGAAGTTCCTAACTTACGGTTAGCTACTAAGAATATTGTCTAATAATGTAAGATATTTCCTGGTTAAATTGGAGTCTATGCTGGAAAGGTTGTCACAGTTTTTGTTATCTACATGTTATGGGAATACTGTATATAGCACCCATTTCACAGAAAAAAAATACAAGATTTTACAGGTTAAACATGGTATATAGATATTTTTAATCTCAAAATAAAGGTAGAAAAAAGAAATGTCCTAAAAAAATAAGCTAATCCTAGTATAAATCCTAAATGATTCAAAACCATCATAGTGTCCATAAGAATAACTTCCAAGTAGGTAAATTGGTTTGAACCTGTATTAAATTATCATGGGGAAATCCATGAGACACTTGTCATACACCTTGACTGACCCAAATAATTCCCAACTGTGTGTTTCTATTATTGTAAGCAATTGCAAAGCCCGTATTAGTCATCTCAAGTTTTTTTTTAAAATATTTTATTTATTTTTATTTTATGTGTATGCGTGTATTGCCTGCATGTAGGTAAGTGCACCCATGTTGTACAATGCCCACAGAGGACAGAAGAGGCTGTCAGATCCCCTGGAACTGGAGTTATGGACAGTTGTTAGCTGCCATGCAGGTGCTGGGATTCGAACCTGGGTCTTCTGCAAGAACAGCTAGTGTTCTTAACCACTGAGCCTCTCTCCAGCCCCAGTCGTCTGAAGTTTTATCATTCACAGGTATGTGACACATTTCCAGACCCTCCAGCCAACTCAACATCATCTACTTTTCCAGATTAATGTCCTTCTAAGACTAACTTCATTGGATCCACACTCAAGAAGACTACCAGTTTTCCTGACCCCGCTACATCTCTGTGAAGTGCCAAGGCCTTAAGACTTGGGTACGTGTATTACAACGGCAAGAGTGCCAGCGCCAACAACAGACTCATTGGACCCGTCAGCTCCTCTGTTTCACCAAGCATAATAACCTTAACAACAAAGCAGAGTAAGCCAAGTGCCTCTGTGTGACACCACCAGCTACTGCACAAGATAACCAAGTTAGCCTAGAGCCCTGTCTTCCCTTGAGAAGCTGGGAACTGAAGGAGCTATTGTGAGATCTGTGCTGCTAGTAAGTGACTGGTAAAATTGTAGATTGGACTGGCCCCTGAGTTCAGAGACTTGAGTTATAATTGAGTGAAAAATAGACAACGAAATCTTGAAGAATTGCACTGACATGCAAGCCAAATTTAACACTCTTCAAGTAATGTTGGTTGAACTGAGAAGTTGCTAAACGAAACCTGGAACAGGATTGATTATTTCACTTTCTCTCTTTGCCATTGTTGCTTCTTTCTGTTACATTCCTTGCTCTTTGTGTTGTCTTTCTAAGCCCAAATGTTCTCCGATAATTCACATTGCCCTGATTGTGGGCAACAGTGGTTCCCTAGTTTAGAGCTAGGGCATTGGTTATACCAAACTGAACTTGTCGAAAATGAGTGTTACCAAGTATTCTTAGACCGCATTAACAGAGCTGATTATTGCCCTGAATGTTATCCTGATAATCCTGCTAATAGAAGCGTTGTTCTGCCTTGGTCTTTCCCACTTGAGTGGGCACCTCAAAATCTCACCAGGTGGACCTTTGAAAAAGCTTGCCATCCATTTCTTCTAGGTCCTCCCCTGGTTAGAAAAAGGATACATGACTCCAGAGTAGCTGGTTTTAATCCTGCATTGCAATTAATCTTGACCAGAACAGATAAAACCTTAAACAAAAAACTTGGCCAAAGCAAGTAACTTCTGTAATAGTCAAAATCATGGAGGCTTTAGAGAGTTTTGTGCTAATAGCCCAGGGAAAATGAATAATCACTCATTTCTGTTCTCTCTTTCCCATTATTTTTCTTCTTTTTTTTTTCTTTTTCTTTTTTTGGTAAGGTGCTGGGAATTGAAGCTGGGGTCCCTTGTGCATGCTAGGCAACTCTGCCACTGACTGAACTAAACCCCAGGCCCTCCATTTCTAAATCGGATCCTCCAGACTATCATTTTGTGAACTTCTTAAATTGTTGGGTATGCTTCTGTGTCTATGCATATTTTGTTCAGCATAAATATAGTCAGTATTCCAGCCAGACTATTTATCTAGAATCAGACTATATAATTCCTATAAATGTTTTAGAACTTGCTGACCCCTCCTGAAAAGTGCCACAGCCTAAGTATTGACATATGATAATGTGGTCCTGGAGGGGAGGCCCCATGCTGTATGCCCCATCAACTGTTTTTCTAGCAGTAGCTTTTGTGAGAAAGCATCCTTGTAGCTGGATTCTAGATTATTCTAATAAATTTTAATATACTACATTGTTCTAAATTTCTCCTTATACATTAACCAGTGATTATGAGAGATGTTACACTATTGGTAACTGGTTGCTGTCACATTCTGTTTGACAACACCTACATAGGTTACACAAAATTGTTGCAAAGGCTGCCAGTTTACACTTACTTGTCTACATAACCAAAGACTGTCCTGTCTAGTGGTGACTGAACTTAACAGTGTCCTCCCCTGGAAATGGAAAAATAGCTGTACTATGAAGTTTATGACAAATGATAAAGCTTAACTCCATGTAATTTATGAACAGTCTAGTGGAAGCTTTTGTCTTAGAAGTAAGAATGTCTTGCTGAATGTTCACTATATTCTCGCCTTCTCTTTTTCATGGACACCCATGGTCTCAGATTTGGAGTTAGGCAACTTGGAGAAGCTATTCTCAGAAGGCACTGAACAATTTAAAAATTCCATTTAAGATTCTAGATTATTTGGGCAGGAGAGATGGCTCAGCAGTTAAGAGCACTGGCTGCTCTTGCAGAGGCTCTGGGTTTGATTCCCAGCACCCACGTGGTGGCTCACAACCATCAGTAACTCCAGTTCCAGGTCCTCTTCTGGCCTCCATGGGCATTGCACACACATGGTGCACTTACATGTAGGCAAAACACATAAAAATAAATAAAATAAAAGATTTTAGGTTATCCTGTGCTTGTGTAGCAAAGAACAATATTATCCAGGAGCCAAGTTCCTTGTCCTTCCTCCCCTGGGGTCCTTATATAATGTTTGCTTTTTTTTGTCCTTTTGATTGTTTCCTCAATGAGTACAATAATTGTTGTTGTATGAGACATTTCAATTGCAACCAAAGGTTGGAAATAGGGAGCAAGAAGCCTTCCTTCAAGTCTTATTTGGGAATAAAATCTTTCTGAAAAGTCTCAGCAGTTTTTTTAAAGCACCTCATCAGCAGGTACTGGTTCTCACACAAGAGTGAGGAAGAGTTGGCCTTGCCCTGATGAGCACATTGCTTCCATTGATAAAACTTGGGTCTTTTCAGGGAGGAGAAAGTGAGGAAATGAATGAATGGCTGTTGATAGGCAAGAAATCCTACTTTCCACATGTGAAACCTGAAGTTTTGTTTGTATAAAGAATGTACTCTGATCTACTCATACCTGCCTTATGTCCATCATGGTTGGAGGGACTCTCCTGTTACATCGCTGAATAAACTGTGTGGACTGCTAAACTGAGTGAAGACTAGTTTGTCTTTAACCTGCAATGTAGTACTCCCTCACATTCTAAAGCTCTTCCTAAAACATGAAAATTAGTTTTGGAGACTGTTATTATCAATGTTACTACCTCTTCATTTTTTTTTTTTTTTCATTTATCAAGAATGTTTATGCGAGGTGTTGTATACCTTTAATCCAAGTACTTGGGAGGCAGAGGCATGCATATCTCTGTGAGGTAAGGACAGCCCCATCTACATAGGGATTTCCAGGTAACTGAGGCTGCAGGGAGACCCTGTCTCAGAAAACAAACAAAACTAAAAGCATGTTTATACCCTGAGGACATGATACTTGTGCGAAATTTAAAATATTAGCAAAATAGAAAATTTTTCTGTTTTAACCAACTCTTTAAATAGGTCAAAGTAAAAAGGATTTCTCAAAAAATAAAAAGGATTTCTCAAATTGCTGTACCTGGGAGAAATTCTTTATAGAATATAGATTTCTTAGTCTGTAGAAATTTTGATTCCTTAGACTGCCTGCAGGAGCCAGGAATCTGCTTATAAATGACATCTCAGGAGATTTTGGCGAGTGTACTCTGTGGATTTTGAGAACTGTGTCAGTGCATCCATAGTGTATTTACCTGGCTTAAAAATATTGGAGCCATGTGAGAACTCAGTGCTACCACCAGTGCATGTTGGACAGTTAATATGTCTCAGCCCTCCTCACTATGGTTCTGTTGTCTTTATAAACCACATGAGTATATAAGCCAGAGAAAGGAATTTAAAAAGTACTCATTTCAGTATTAAGGTGCTTTGTCTTTGAATGTGACATATCACCCCTCTTAATGATAAGTTGTTAGAAATCATACAGCTCCTAAAACAGCAAAGAAGGATATTTTGTAAGCATTCGTAGTTTCTTAGCATAGGGTTTTTGAGGTATGGCTTCCCATGTCTCAAAATACTGTAGATTCTAGAACACTTCACAGTTAATGTGAGTAATGGATTTTTATTAAAAAAATGAGTTACTAAAATTCTAACAAATGATCCTGGGGTATTTAGTGTTGTCGTTGTGTGTTCCATAGTCTCTATATTGTTAGAGTTAATAAAATACTACTTTACATAATAGTAACATTTTGAAAGTGATCATTATAACTCCTTCCTATTATTCTCTATCAGACTACATGTTGGGGTAGACTGGGAGGAAAATTCATCAACCAAGGAGGGGCACTTAGGGAATGTGGGTGACTGAGATAAGATTTTTCTCTACGTTACTAGAAAGGAGCCCCAACCAACCAAGCAAGTAAGTAAATCTAAGGCTTTGGCATCCAAAGAGGATGGCAGCCTGCATACATGGCTGTCTGAAAAAGTAAGGTGACAGCCATATCTGTTTCATGGCTCTAGTCTTTTCTGACTACCTTTTAGTCTCCATGGAATTTTGAGGACATAGAAAACTTTTGTGGAGGAAAAATAATGGCCTTGCAGCTCCCTGGATTTGTATTTAATTCTGATGCTATTAAGTGGCCTTGGGCATTTTAACTGTCTCTTTTCTTCCTGTGTGACATAGATTATTCCTGGCCCACACTGTACCAATCATACATCACAGAGGGAAGGTTCAGGGCAACAAAGTGGAAACTAGAACTAGGGGAGAAGGCAAAGTCTTAGTTTTAAAACAAGGAATAGACTCAGGACCTGATGCTGGATTATCACAAACTCAATCTCCTGATGAAGGACAAAACTGGGCTTGGGACTGAAATGTGACTGTAGTTGTGACTCACATGGTCTCTGGTACAAAGGTTGAGATTCTAGAGGGACAGATGACCCAAGGCAAATCCTTGTTACATTTTTCTTGAGGTCCATTTATATCTCACTTGTGGTAGACGTAATTGCTGTATAATTTACTGTTACCTGAGACTTTCTACAAAATTGGAATAAGCATTTTAAAAATTTTATTATTTTTATTTTACGTGTATTCGTGTATTGCCTGCATGTAGGTAAGTGTACCTGTGTTTTGCAATGCCTGCAGAAGTCAGAAGAGGCTGTAGGATCCCCTGGGACTGGAGTTATGGACAGTTGTTAGCTGCCATGTGGGTGCTGGGATTCGAACCTGGGAATTCTGCAAGAACAACTAGTGTTCTTAACTGCTGAACCATCTCCAGCCCCTGAAATAAGCATTTTGAGAAAAGTTGAAGAATATGTGTATATTTACTCAGGCTGTGTGTGCTAGTCCCAGTTCAAACCTAGATCAAACTGCCAGGCTTGGATCGGGGGTCTTCAAAATGTGTTTACCATAAGCTTTTTTCAGTGCCTTAGATAAAGTACTGGATCCCATAGTCAGACTGCCTGACTTCAAATCCTCACTCTGCCCTTAGTAGTGTGTTCTCTTTTTCTTTTTCTTTTTCCTTTTCTTTTTTTTTTTTTTAAAGACAGGGTCTTGATATATAGCCCTGGCTGACCTGGAACTCACTGTGTAGATCAGGCTGACTTCGAACTCAGAGATTTGCCCGCCTCTGCCTCCTGAGTGCTAGCTTTAAAGGCATGAGCTTCCGTGCCTGGCTTAATTTTGTGTTCTTAAGTAAAGTTCTTAACCTTGTGTTTTGGTTTGGAAAATAATAGGGATATTAATAGTTTGTAAGACTATTGCAAAGATTAAGTGGGTTAATTCATACATGCTTTGCTGGCTGGCACCAGGATGGCACTTAATAAATATTAAGTTTTATAGTTGTTATGTATACCCTTGAAGCTCTTTGACTCAACAGCAGGATTGCTTGGGCCCAAGATCCCTATTCCTTTTATCTGGAGAGCCTAAAATAGTTTACTAAAAAAGAGTGTTTAGAAATTTTAAGTACCTTAACTTACTGAACCCTACTGATGTACATTTGTCAGGATGGTGTTTATATCTAAAACACTATCTAGGAATCACTGATTGCCTTTTGCTCTGTTTAGCTCCTAAAATTAATTTCCCTCTCCTTTTAAAAAACATTTAAATATTTTTGTTTTCAGATACCTAGCCCCTCCCCTTCTCTGGTCTTCCCCAAACCTCCCTTCTTTTCTCTGGTCTCTGGTCATGCCAGAGACTTGATGGATGGAGTGAAGGATGGATGAGGTCCTACTGCTGTGCCCACCCTAATTTCTCCTTACAGGCAACTTTTCTTTATCCTGTCCTTTTCTCTGCTGGTTGTGACAGAATATGTAGGTGATTGTTGTTGAAGCATCTGGACTGGAAGTTCATCGTGTGTGCTCTCAGAGTTATCATTAAAGGCCCTTCTTTTTGGTACTTTTCCTAAATTAATTTTGTTACTTATCTTTTCCTTTTTTCTTGTGGTATTGTGTGTGTGTGTGTGTGTGTGTGTGTGTGTGTTGCATGCACAAGTGTGTGCATGCAGAGGCCAGAGGCAGATGTCAGGTATCAACCTCTAGCTCCACCTTATTCCCTTGAGATGAAGTCTTTCACTGAAGAAGAAGCTCACCTTATTTGGCTAAGCTGGCTAGCCAGCAGGCTTCTGGGATCCACATGTCTATGCCACCCAGTGCTGGGGATTCAAACTCTGGTCTTCAGGTTTACACATCAAGTGTTCTTACCCACTAAACCATCTCCCTTACTCCTGTTACACATTAAAAAAAATGAACATCAAAAGAGAAAACTGCAATGTGTAACAAGCCACCTACATATCCAGATCTAAATAAAATACATTAGCATTTTGCCACGTTTACCAGAAAATTTAAGCCTTCCATCTAGTATATTCTCTGTAAGTGGGGAATAAATCTTACAACTCTAACCATTTCCAAGTCCTGATGAAGATAAAAGGATCAAAATTTTCTTCAGGTTTCAGGGTTACAGGAAAGTGGACAAGATTCTAGAAGAATTAGGCTGTTTATTTAAGTAGAAAAATGAGTCATGGGTCACTGAAAACCAACATTCCATTTCACAATTGAACTTGGAAGAGAGAATCACTAAAACTAAATGTCTTTTTTTTGTCTTTTTGAGACAGGGCCTCCCTGTAGTCCCAGCTGTCCTGAAACTCACGATGTAAACCAGACTAGCCTCGAACTTACAGAAATCTGCCTGCCTCTGCCTCCCTAGTGCTAGGACTAAAGGCGTGCACCACTACATGGCTAAATTAAATGTCTTTGTATTATTTGAAACACATATGACTCTGTTCTTCATGAAAAAGAAACCATCAAAGTTATCTTTTTTGGACAGGCTGAGGGTCAGTTTTTCCTAGTTACAGAATATCTCCAATAACTACGTTTTGATCACTTTGGCCTCACTTTAGTTTTTGATGTAGTCTCCCCTGTAGCTCAAGCTTGCCTGGAGCTTGCCATATAATCCAGGCTGCTCTTGAACTCATGATCCTCCTAGGATTACAGCACCACCATGCCCAGCTTCTGTTGTGCTTTCATTGTGAGGTTCCTAATGAAAGTATGTCCTAATATGGACTGGACACTGTTCAGAAGAGTTGCCACTGTTCAAAACAGTTACTTCCAGATCTCTCAGATAACCAAATGGTGACTTTTTGTGAGAATAGAACAAAAACATGTTTGCTCCACTTGGAGCTTTGAGGGAATGCCATTTCAACTCTGTACAAAGGTGATAGGTCACAAAGGGTCTGAATGCAGCTGCTGGTTGACGTGTGCTTTGTGATAAGAAAAGTATATAGTGTTTAGAGAAATAGAGAAATACATGAGATGGGTCCTTTGCTTCTTTTTTACTCCAACATAATTAAATATTTGAGGACATGCTACTTGTTTGTGATAAAGTTTGTTAAGAATAACGTACATTCATTCAATGCACAGACTTAAAGTTTGATGACAAATGGAACATAGTTATCACCCCAGTTTCCCTTATGCTGTTTTCTAGTCCATGCTCCTTTCTTTCTCTAGGAATCACTAATTTCTCTCTCTCTCTCTCTCTCTCTCTCTCTCTCTCTCTCTCTCTCTCATTTATTTATTTATCTATTTATTTATTTGATGCATATAAGTGTTATATTTATTTATTTTATTTAATTGCTTCTCGGCCTTTGGCTAAGATCAAGTTTATTTCACTGTAGAGACCAGGCTGGCCTTGAACTCACAGAGATCTGCCTGCCTCTGCCTCCCAAGTCACTAATTTATTTCCTATCACTAGACCTTAATCATTTACTTATTCTAGAATTTCTGTAAATGGAGTCATTTTTTTAGAATGTGCTAGTGATTAAATCTAGAGCCTCATACATGCTATAGAAGTCTACCAGAGGGGACTGGAGAGATGGCTCAGTGGTTAAGAACACTGGTTGTTCTTGCAGAAGATCCGGGTTTGAATCCCAGCACCCACATAGCAGCTAACAACTGTCCATGACTCCAGTTCCAGGGGATCCGACAGCCTCTTCTGACCTCCACCGGCATTGCACAATACCAGTACACTTACCTACATGCAGGCAATCATGCATACAAATAAAATTTTTTAAAAATTAAGTTTTTAAAAAAAAAGTTTACCAAAGAGCTACATAAATTCTTTTTTGCTTTTGAGGTATAATTTATGCATTATAAAATCTCTCTTTTTCCAAAGTTATTGTACATCTACTGTTAGGTTTATTACTAGGAAGATGGGCATGATAGCACATGCCTGTGACCCTAGCACTCATGAAGTAGAGGCAGGAGGATTGCTGTAAGTTCAAGACCAGCCTAAACTACATAGTTGAGTTTCAAGTCTACCAGGACCCTGTAGAGAGCCCTTGTTTCGGGGGTAGGGCATTTGCCTAGCATGCATGAGACCTGAGTTTGATCCCCCGCACTCTGTGCATATACATAGAAAAAAGTTGAAGTTCCAAATCTAAGAGCTTAAAGAAGAAAAAAGGGATGACAAGGAACCATTCAAATCTGAGACATCCTAAGTGTTCACACCAGCAGAAGACCCTGTTCTTAGGCTTCTGTCCCTTCCAGGTATATGCCACATGCATTGATTTTTTTCTTTAAACAATTTTTTTTTTTTGCATTTACTTGTGTGTGTCAGTGAGTGTGTGTGTGTGTATGCATGTGCTGCAGTGCACATGTGGAAGTCAGCGAATAGCCTACACGGGTCTCTTTTCTTCAACTGTGAGGGTTCCGAGGATCAAACTCAGGTTGTCAAGTTTTAGAAGCAAGTGCTTTTACCCATTGAGCCATCTTGCCATCCCCTCAATTTTCTTAATAAGCTTTTCAAACAGTAAGTGAAATTTTTACTATACATAGTGCCTAAGGCACTATGCTAGATATTTAGGATTATAATGTTGAAAAGTTTTAGCTTACAAAAGTACTGTGGAGCCGGGCGCTCGCCTTTACTCCCAGCATTCCAGAGGCAGAGGCAAGTGGATCTCTGTGAATTTGAAGCTAGCTTGGCCTACATAGTGAGTTCCAGCTGGGGCTACAAGGAGACCGTATCTCAAAAAGACCAAAAAAAAAAAAAAAACCAAAAGAACTGGGGGGAGAAAAAACGAAAAAAAGACTAGTTGAAAAGCCTCACAAACCAGTCTGGTCTACATAGTGAGTTCCAGCTGGGGCTACAAGGAGACCGTATCTCAAAAAAACAAAAAAAAAAAAAAAAACCAAAAGTACTGTGGGGAGAAAAAATGCAAAGAAAGCTAGTTGATAAGCCTCTCAAATAGACTACCAAAAACTGTACATTTTACAAAGCACTTTCACATATGTTTTTGCATTTAATCCTTATAGCAATCTTTAACCTCATTTTTACAGCTATTGAATGTCAGTAACTTAACCTTTAATCTCATTTTTACAGCTATTGAATGTCAGTAACAACAATTTGTATTTGACAGTAAGACTTAACTATAAAAGTACGTGGGTTTTACAGCCCAACAATTGTCCCTGACTTTGCTCTTAAAACATATGTATATATGTTTTGTTGGCGGGGGCGGGGTGGGTGATATGTGTATGTGAGTGCAGGTGCTCAAGGAGGTCAGAGATATCAGCTCCCCTGGAGCTGGAGTTACAGGAAGTTGCGAGCTGCCCAACCTGGGCACTGAGAACCGAACTCAGGTTCTTTGGAATAGCAGTACATTGTTCTTAACTACTGAACCATCACTACAGATCCTATTTTGTTCCTTTTGAGTAAAGCTTATAATAATTGTTCTCTGAACATCACAAAAGACATTGTATAAATGGTTCTGTGTCCTCATATTTCACTAAGAAAACAGTGATGAAATTGCAGATGTGTGCTTGCCAGCATCTTAAGGCAGTTTGTAGTTTGCAGGCAGCTTCTGAGTTACTTGTTCATAAGTGAATGCTTCTGATTAGCATGCTGTGAGAGAATAACATGGGACAGAAATGACAGCATCAGTTTGCAGGGACTGCCTCTGGTCTATTTATAGAAGAGTTTTATATTTCAATTCAAAGCTCTTCTCGTTGAGATTCTGGTCACTTGGTGTTACTTTTCACACTCTTGTGACTATACTAGAATGTATTAGGAGATTGTGGCATCTATACAAGGTTAAAAGTCTGAAACCTTTTAATCTTTGTGGTCTGGGATTGGGATGTGGTACTGATGAAAACCAGAAAGTAAATTTTCTTAAGAAGGTGTCAGAAATAACTCAGACTACAGAGATTTTTATCTTTTAAAAAAGGTGAAATTGGTGTTTTACCCTGGAATGGATAAAAATTCATTTAATTTTTTTTCCATTTTATTTTAGTCACTGTATATATGCCTTGCTTCCTGTTTCCTTGGGAAGCATGAGCCTTTTGGGATTTTGGAGAAGAAAACAAGATAACTTCACAAGGAAAACCAGACACTGAAAAGGTAGCCCAGTCTCTGAAGAGTTAGAGCATAAACATGACGGACAGTGGCCTTAGGGATCCTGCACAGGGTAAGACCAGTTTGTTCTGCACTCAAGTGTGTGCTGTAGGAAACCAGGGCTGTGTTAAGAAAGACTATCCAATGACTACAAAAACCTCAAGGTTTTGTGTGTTTTTAGTTTTTGGAGATAAGATCTCCCTGAAGCCCTAGATGACCTGGAACTCCCTGTATAGACCAGCCTGGCCTGAATCTCACAGAGATTCCTCCAGAGTGCTGGGATTAAAGGCATGTACCACCAAGCCAGACTTAAGAGTTCTGTTTATTAAAGGAAAGTCTGTGATATGCTACATTTAGAGGAGAATTTTCATGAAGTGAAAATTGAAGTCTTCATCCTGCTTCTAGGTGTATATATATATGATAGACAAAATAAAATAGGTTTTTCAGAAGAGGAAGGACAATCTTCAATTTTTTTTCTTCTTTTACATTTTATTTGCTTTTGTTTGTGTATGGGTGCATGTGCTACAGCAGGCCTTTGAAGGTCAGAGGACAGCTTGCAGGAATTAGTTCTCTCCTTCCACCATGTGGGTCTCAGGGATCGATCTCAGGTTGTTGGGCTTGGTGACAACGCCATTGCCTGCTGAGCATCTTGCCAGCCCTTCTTTAAAATTTTCACTAAGGAAGTTTTTAAATGCATAAAAGTAGAACAGCATAACGAACCCCCCTGGACCCAACATCCAACTTCAGCTGTTACCAACGCAATACTGATTTTGTTGCCTGCCCTGGATTATTATATAAATACAAAACATTATTTTATTTGTAAACATTTTGTTTCTTAAAGGTGGATCTTTTTGTAAAAAGGATTATTTTTAAGAACATAAGGGCCCAGGTTGTAGCTCAGTGGTTGTCTAGCAAGCTTGAAGCCCTGGGTTTCATCAGTAGTGATGCCCCTTCCAAAAAAAAGGGTTGGGGGCAGAAATGGTGGTGCACTGCACTTTTGAGGTACAAGCAGGAGGACTGGCTATCTACCAAGTTTGAGGCCAACCTGAGGTTTATGTGAGCCTGCCTCAACAAACAAAACAAATATAAACAGCCAAAGTATCACACCTCAGAAATCATGTTGTTGTCTTTTTTTTTTTTTCTTTTTTTTTTTTTGGCCTTTTTGGAACAGGGTTTCCCTGTAGCCACAGCTGACCTAGAACTCACCTTGTAGACCAGGTGGTCCTTGAACTCAGAGATCCGCCTGCCTCTGCCTCCTGAGTGCTGAGAATATAAGCATGCACCACCATCAAAATCATGTTGTCTTAACACCACATATCTTATCAGTGTTCACATTTCACTTATTTTTTTCATAGTCGGGGTTTTTTCTTTACAGTTGCCACATACTGCATTTTATCGATAGGTCTTCCAGTTGCTCTTCTTTTAGAGCTTTATTGCAGAATGTTTCAAGCATACACAAAAGTAGATGATGTACCCATTAACCAGCTTCGTCTGCTGGCAGCATACAGCTCATACTTCCTCATCTATTGCTCTGCTCCTTCTCTTTCCTCTTACCTCTCTAGAGAATACTCTTTTAGAAAACAAAGTACCTCATCACACTTAAAAAGATCAATACTAATTTATTACTATTATCAAATATCCAGCATTCATATTTCTTTGATTTATTTTTATTTTATGTGTATGAGTATTGCTTTCATATATCTAAGTGTACTAAGTATGTGCATTGCTTGCAGAGGCCAGAAGAGGGTGTTGGATTCCCTGGTACTGCAGTTATGGATAGCTGGTTGTATGCCCCTCCTTTGAATTTTTTGAGGCAGGGTCTTACTGTGTAGTTCAGGCTGGCCTTGAACTTACAGTCCTGCCTCTGCCTCTTCAGTCCTGAGATTGCAGGTGTGTTCTACCACATGGGGCCTGATTACATTTTTTAAAGATTTATTTAAAATTTTTTATTTTTTGTGTATGTCTGTCTATGTGTGTGTATACATGCGTCTGTAGAGAACAGAAGAGGGTATGTGTGTGTGTCTGCGTCTGTGTGTGTATATGTATATGTATGTATGTATGTATGTGCATGTGTCTGTGGAGACCAGAAGTGTGTGTGTGTGTGTGTGTGTGAGAGAGAGAGAGAGAGAGAGAGAGAGAGAGAGAGAGAGAGAGAGAGAGAGAGAGAGAGAGAGAGAGAGAGAGAGCGCGCATGTGTGTGTGTGTGTCTGTCTGTGCGTATATATATATATATGTGTATGTATGTGTGTATGTGTGTGTGGCGTCAAAACTTGTGTGTGTGTGTGTGTGTGTGTGTGAGAGAGAGAGAGAGAGAGAGAGAGAGAGATAGAGAGAGAGATAGAGAGAGAGAGAATGTGCACGTATCTGTGGAGACCAAAAGAGGGCATCAGATCCCCTGGAGCTGGAGTTGTGGGTGCTGGGATCCAAACTCCAGTCTTCTGCAAGAGTAGCAAGCACTCTTAACCACTGAGCCATCTCTCCTGCCCCAATTGCATTCGTGAGACATAATTCATTGTGTATCTCTATCCTTGTATTTCTTAGAAACTGGTAGTTAGCCCTAGAAACTGAATCAGATTTGTGTTCATTTGTGGACAATATTTCATAGGTGGGATAGTGTACTTCTGTTTGCATTGTACTAGAGAGTTAATGGTGTCTGCAGTTCCCTGTTTGGGTGATGTTAAAATTAACAAGTTTAGTAGTTCTGTGTGTGTGTGTGTGTGTGTGTGTGTGTGTGTGTGTGTATGTGTGTCCCTATTGGTTTTGAATAAACCAGCCTCTTAAGAAACATTCAGGGGCTGGGCATGGTGGCATGTGCCTTTAAACCCAGCCCTCGGGAGGCAGAGGCAGGTGGATCTCTGTGAGGTTGAGGCCAGCCTGGTCCACATAGTGACTTCCAGGCTGCCTGGGACTAGGGATACCCTGTCAAAAAAAAAAAGAAAAGGAAGAAAGAAACGTTTAGGAGGGCTGGCTAGATGACTCAGAGGGTAGAAGTCCTTGCCACATAAGCCTGACAACCTGAGTTTGATTCCAGGAACCCTGACTCCTGAAAATCGTCCTCTGACCTCCACACAAGTGCCTGCACTCATATACACATGCATAATAATTGTAATAGAATTTTTGAAAAGGAGTATTTATGGCTGGAGATGTAGATCTCAAATTTTATTAGATAATAAGTGAAATGTGAACGCCAGATATTTGATGATACTAAGAAATTATTATTCAGTTTTAAGTATGATAGGAGTGTTATGATTATGTTTTTGAAAAAAGTATACTTTTTAGAATTTCTAATATTTTTGGCCATGTATAACCAAAAACTGACTTTATCATTCACAATAGTTTTACATTAGTATTAGTGATTAGCTTTATTGGTATGGTCAACTTATTTTAACTCTTAGTGGGATCCAAGAAAATTAATGATTAAGAAAAGTGCCTTGTAAACCATGAAATACTATATATAAATATCATTAATTTTTTTTTTTGGAGGGGTCTTTTTGAGACAAGGTCTCCCTGTAACACCATCTGGCCTAGAACTTACTATGTAGACCACTGGCCTCGAACTCACAGAGATCTATCTGCCTGCTGGGATTAAAAGCATGTGCCACCACACCTGGCTGTAAATATCATTAATTGAGGATCTTGATAAGGCACAAAATTTTGGGGAAAACTTTTAAAATAAAACTTGCAAATTTTTATCTCACTAGACTCTCAAAAGGATTTGGAAAACGATCCATCAATAAATTCTCAGGCACAGGATGCCAGAATCACAGAAAGTAATACTGAAGAAGCAAAGACCCCATACCTTGCATCCGATCTTAAGGAAGACCACCAACAGGTAGGGGCAGAAGGTTCGGAAAGTGCAGACACAGGTGCTAAGTCAGAAGGTTCAGAGGAAATAGAGTTTGAAAAATATCAAAAGGATGAAACAGAGCCTGAGAACAGCCCTAGTTTTCAAGATGGAGAACAAGGGTACCCCCGCCCTTCAGAACCTCTGCATGAAGAAGCCTTGGATCCAGATCCTGAATGCTCTCCTGGTGACGAAGTAGGAACTGCGGATGCACACTTGGGGAGCAGCCCTGCAACCCTCCCTGAGGGAGCAGGGGACAGATCTGGAGCTTTTCAGGGTCCACATGCTACAGATTCTACAGATGCCCAGAGTCCTAGTCATCCCAGTGCAGGCCCAGAGAGCCAGGATTTCCTGAGGAGACGACTGCCTGTATCAGGTAAGAGACCTTCTGCGCTGCTGCTTCCCTTCTTTGTGTTGTCCTGAGAACACAGAGACCTTTGGGTCTTTCCCAAGGTCATTCAGAGTTCTAGGTTGCTAGAGTGAAGTTTCCGCTACATTAAGTTGCTACCAACTAGATTTTTAACAACATTGTTTGTTTAGGTTTTGTGTGTATTATGTGTGTGTGTGTGTGTGTCTGGTTGGGTGGTTTTTGTTGTTGCTATTGTTTTGGCATAAATTCTCACTTCATAGCCCATGCTGGCCTCAAACTCATGATGATCCTCCTGAATGAATGCTGCTGGGATTATATCCGTGTACCATTATGCCCAGCCCTGATTATATATGAAGATTCCTATTTTGTAATTACTCTGAATGGTTGGTCTGAGATACCCATTTGCTGGTACAAAGACATTGTGTTCATCAGATACTTGACTAAGAGCTATCAAATCATTAATTGATGTCAAACATATGTTTCATCTATTTTCATCAGAATCCTGCATAGGGAAGTACTTAGGTCCCTTCTTACATTGTATTTCTCTGGCACTGAATACAATGAAACAACTCTGAGTATTTGTTGAGTGAGTGAATGAATAAGTGAACCAATGAATGAATGTGATTGGATACACTATTATCTACCATTACAATTTCACCATTGTACAGGTCACTGTGAGTAGAAAAATATGGTATTTAAAAATGCAGTATATGTGTGGGAAAGAGCCTAGTAAGGTAAAATGAATGAATCTGTGATCTTGATTTGTATAAAAGGAAAATCTGCAAAGTATAGACATACTGTCATGTAATTTGGTAAGGAATAAAAGATATTATCCACACTTAAAGTGTTCTGTCTAAAAATAGCACTGTCCTTTTATACTAGATGTTGGAAGCCATGAAGAGGAAACAGAAACAGTGAAAGAAAACAAAGAAGTTGCACAGGATACAACGAGAAAGACTAACAAAAAGAGTTTATGGAGCTACGGTGAGAACAAGCTGATTTCATTGCAGTTCATTTGCATTCACAGCTCCTTGAGGAAAATGCCTAAAAAGTGATTATTATATTTAAGCAGTTTTAACTTTAATATATATAAATGTTTGATAAATAGAATAAAATAGAGCAATAACGTTTTAGTTTTTTCTTCTAGGGCTACTGTATAATATTTTCTTTGCTTAACAAAACAAATTTTCATAGTAGGAAGAGGGGTGTGCCCCCCGCCACACACATACACACTGGGGATTGAATTTAGCACCTTCTGCCTGCTAGGCAAGTGAACTATCACTAGGCTGCCTCCAGTGAAAAACCTTTTCATAGAAAACAAGAAACTAAAGCTTCCTTTTGTTGCGTTGAGGCAGGGCCTTACTTTAGGGCCCTGACTGGTCCTGATACTTACTGTGCAGCCCAGGCCAACCTAAAATGCATGGCAGTATTTCTGTCTCAGCCTCTAAAAATGTCTTAAAAGCTTTTCAGTTAAAGGCTACTAACTTTTCAAATTGTGTTTTTACTATTTTTTTTCCTTATTATTGAAAGAGAATCTCACTATGTAGCCCAGACATTGCAACCTTCCTGTCTTAGCCTCTTGAGTGCTGAGATATATAAGCTTGTCCCACCATGCCTGTCTCATTTTTAAGCTTTGACGCAAAAGAAAGTGATCTGCTATTGGTAGTATATACTTTGAGAAAGTGGGAGAACATCTTCATAGCTCTCTTCTAAAAGCATCACTGAGTATAACAACAACAAAATACAGAAACAGCTTTTCCTTTTTGATAGAGATGCTGTGTCTTCAAATAGTCTGAGATCAAAGAGAAGGTAATTCTGTTAGACTTTTTGTTTTGTTTTGTTTTGGAGACAAGGTCTTGTTACATAGAGCATGGCAATCCTCCTGCCTCAGCATCTCAAATGCTGCCACTATGTCCAAGTTTTAGTAGGCTTTTAAGTGTGACAGTATAAAAGATTTAGGCAAAAGGAACTTAGCATTGCCAGTAAAACCAGAAAGGAATCCCTTCCTTGTTTCAGTTCACCTCAAGCTTTGGTTCTGACTCACATTCCTTCTCATTGTCTGTTACTTTTTTCTTTGGCAGGTTCCATACTTCTCTCCTGCCTGGTTGTAATTCTTGTGCTAAGTTCTGTTCACAGCTACTATTCCTCTCCAGCCCAGCAAGTACCCAAAAATCCAGCCTTGGAGGCCTTCCTGGCTCATTTTGGCCAGTTGAAGGATACATTTCCAGGTCAGAGTTCTTTCCTATGGCAGCGAGGACGTAAGTTTCTCCAGAAGCACCTCAATGTTTCAAACCCTACCGAGCCAGCCACCATCATCTTTACAGCAGCTCGAGAGGGAAGGGAGACCCTGAAGTGCCTGAGCCACCATGTTGCCAATGCCTACACCTCTTCCCAGAAAGCGACTGCTATCTCCATCAATGGGGCTGAAAGAGCCTTGCAAGACAGTGACACAGTGAAGCTGTGGGTTGACTTGGAGCTCAGCTCTGGATTTGAGAATGGCCACAAGGCTGCCGTAGTACACCACTTTGAATCCCTCCCTGCAGGCTCCACTTTGATCTTCTACAAGTATTGTGATCATGAGAATGCCGCCTTTAAAGATGTGGCTCTTGTCCTGACGGTCATGCTGGAGGACGAAACATTAGAAGCAAATGTTGGCCCCAGGGAAACTGAAGAAAAAGTGAGAGATTTACTCTGGGCCAAGTTTACCAACTCTGATACACCTAACTCCTTTAGCCGCATGGACTCAGACAAGCTGAGTGGGCTGTGGAGCCGAATTTCACACCTGGTGCTGCCCGTCCAGCCAGTCCAGAACATAGAAGAGCAAGGGTGCCTTTTATAAAGCTAGGCAAGTTGGTTATAGAAGGCCTGCAGGCCTGCTTACGAAGACTCCAGTTCCTTTGGACAGAGGTTGACAAATGAGAGGAACCATCCGGAAAGACACACAAACTTGTTTCAGAAAAGAAGCTTTCATTTTTTTTTTTTTTTACATTTTGTAAAATCTTTCTAATCTAAACTTCAATGAGCTGACAATTGACCTGACATTTTTTCTTTGCCTTTTCAAGCAAATCGGGCTTAAAATACAGCATGATACATAAAAGTGAAGAATTTACGTAGCAGAATTGTTGCACAGGAAGATATACTTCTCAGAGAAACCAGAGTGATTGTTGTCTTGAGGGGAACATAAAGAGCCTTTGGATAGTGTTTGGACTTGAAGTAGTTATAATTGTAAATTAATGGTGATTTTTAGAAATCTTTTCTATCACATAGTATTTTTAAGACTTTGACAGTGTAGTTGTAGAGTTATGTCTTACACATATTTGCACTTTTGAATAGTATGAAAACAAGAAATTAGAGTTCAGCTCACCAAATCCTTGTCTAAAAACTTAGAGCATATAAGGCACTATGCCTTTATTCCGTTAATGAGCTGAGGTAAAAACATCTATGTTCAAAGATGTTCTGAAGTATTGGAATCAATGTGGAAATTGTAACCATCAGAAATGAAGAAACCCCAGTTGGCTGTATCTTTGGTTTAGCTCTCTTGAGTGATGTAGAACCATGATTTTCAAACTGTGCCTAGCCTCCCAACATCCTCCCCTTTGTACAAGAAAACTTCTGATTTTGATTATATTTTGGAGTTCTCTGTAAGATTTCATTAGAACAGAGAGTTTCATTGATGAAGAAGTTTGAAAACCATTGATTGAGTGAAAGCACCTCTTAGAAAGGAAATCAATAGAAAAGAAAATGAAAGCATTAAAACTTTCTTGAGTAGGAAGATGAAATGTAGGTATGAAAAGATACAGACCTTCAGATGAGTTCTGGAAGGACAAACCTGCATTTATTGGTATGTGTCTCATGCCCTGGTTCATTCTGCTGATCATCGTTTCTGTCTCCCCTCAGTGGAGTCTTATAATTGTCTACAATGAGAGTTTAAGTGCTATTTCAGAAGAAAAGATTTTAATAACTAATTTCACAGCAGCATTGGAAGGACTTTACCAGTGTATTTGCTGTGTTTTGTTTAGGACATTACATAATGCAGTTCATTTCTTGACAACTAGTCAGAATACCATTAGGGTAAAGAATTGGAGAAATATAAGAGAATGTTATACATAGTGAAAGGAAAGAGACATGGTAAATTTTCAGTGGTTTAATGGCCAATATCAATTGTTAGGCTATGTTTTATGATTGTAAAATAGACTGGGGATGGTGGCTGTTGATTGACATTTGAATTCTTGGAATCAGAACTCTAGTATAAAGTATGATCTTGACCTAACAAAATGCCTGTTCCATGACATGGACTAGAAAGCCACTCAGTTTTGGCCTGTCTGCTGCTATGAGAAATTATGTAATTAAAACATGGAAGAATTTTAGGAAACACTAAGAAGATTTTTATTGATACTTAAAAAGACAGGGAGGGATACACAAAGACAGGGAGGGATCTACCTGAAAATATTTGCCATGGAAAGGATACAAATTTGTTTTGACCAGAGCTCAGCGTTCTTTTTTGAGTACAGGGATATCTGTGCAAGAACATGTATATGGGATTTTGAAGGAATTTTGCAATAGATTTGAGAAATGATCCTAAACACAGAGTTAAAGCATAATGAATGTAATACCAGTGTCAACCTCAAACCAGAGGAAATTGCAGAAAAATTTATATGTCATATTTGAATTTTGTTCTGTATTTCTTGATTTTTGTTTGTTTTGTGAGATAGGCTTTTGTCATATAGCCCTGACTGGCCTGGTCCTCACATTGCAGCCCATACTGGCCTTGAACTCACAGCAGTTCTCTTGCCTCAGCTTTCCTGAGGGCTGGGATTATCCAGCTTTTACTTTTAGATTTTATATGCTAGCATTACATTATATAAAACCAAGGTGCCTTGTAGAGCTGTTATGTTGGTCTGCTGACCTGTGCTACCTCAGATCTATAAAGGAACCGGTTTAAAATATGCATGTACCTGATCTCTGTCAGTAACTCAGATCACAGGTAGAACAGGTAATTATTTCTTCATTCAGTTCAATATATTTTACATTATTTGCTTTCAACATAATTTAGGATAATAAATTTCCAACTTTTTAAAAACATTTTGTTTTGCTGTTTACCTTTGTTAAATATACTTTCCTTCCACATATAAGTGCAATCAACTGAGACTAGTCAGTTTTCTGTCCACTATTTCAAAAGCCATTATTTAAATTTAATTTTTAATTTAATTTTTTTCAATACTAAGGATTGAACCCAGGGCCTTGACATGCTAGGCAAGTGCCCTACCATTGAGCTACATCCCCAGACTGCTCAAAAATCATTTTAAAAGGATTATTAGCTTTGGGATCAGAATCAAATATTCTTTTTTTCTGTTTCTGAGATAGGGTCTCTACACAGCCCAGCCTAGCCTTGAGCTAATAATTCTCAAGCCTTAGCATCCTACGTGATGGGATTATAGGAGTATGTCACCATACCTGGCTTATTGTAATTGTTTTTGAAAAAACTACTATATTTAAAAATGTACAAATAATTGAACTCTATTTTCTAATGTACTTAATTTCTAGCCCATTTGTTTTTTATATTTTTCAAATTTTCAGGGTTTTTTTTTTTTGTGTGTGTGTGTGTGATCTAATAGTTTATCTTTCATTATTTGTGATAATTTGCATGACTTAGAAAAATGATCTGTGGATCCATGATACTAAATCCAATACCTGAACTTCACAGTTTAATAACAGAGAACAGCTTTTACTATATTATGTATTAATGGAAATCACTTCTTGAGTAATACTGGAGTTCCAGAAGCAATCAGGGAAATTAGAAACTGACTTTGGACTTGGATTTTTCCCTTTCAAGTAAAATTTATGTTTTTTTAGTTAGTTTTCAGAGATTGGCATCGAAGTTCCAGGGAGTTCCGTATCACTGAAGGTGTCAAGGATAACTGTTTTTATTTTTAAAATTTAAAATAATTTTTAATAAACTTCATCTGGAAGCCCCCAAACCTACAAGTCAGTGAGGCTCAGTACCCTCGTGCCTTCCCCTCAGCTTATGGCCCAGTTTAACAGCTGGTTGCTGATGTGGCTTTGTCTCTCTCACTTGTTATTTATACTCTCACTTGTTAAAGTCAGGAAGCATGGTCAGCATTGATGTTAGGATGACAGACAAATGCAGCCTGTGAAAAAAAATAATTCAGCAAGATAATTTTCACTAGCCATATTTAGCCAAGATGCTCGAAGCCCATTGATTTTTGCCTTTGTGTACTTAAAGGAATGACTAGGCTTTGACAGTGTTGATGGCTGATTCCTTGGTGTTTTCCTTCTATCTCACATCATCGTGACTGGTCATCACAATTGATTTTTCCATTTATTTCCATATCGATGTTGAATGTGCCTTATTCAAATCAATTGTCTGGTTATAAAAAAAAATAAATCTCCTTAATTTTTCTTAGCTGACATCATCGTGACTGGTCATCACAATTGATTTTTCCATTTATTTCCATATCGATGTTGAATGTGCCTTATTCAAATCAATTGTCTGGTTATAAAAAAAAATAAATCTCCTTAATTTTTCTTAGCTGACTGTTTTTTGACTAAAGTTTCCAAAATAGTTTGCAGAAATGGGCATGTGGTCACTAATGATGGGAAAGGAAACTGTCCTTTCTTGGTAATTAGGTCAAGAGCTAAAGAATGCTGGGAGGGTCAAGGGGCCTTGGTAACTGGGGTGAAGAGGTGTGGTGCAGACATTGCCTGGAACCATGACTATATTCATGTAGCATTTTGTTCACGCTGCACCCATCTCTCTTGAATAGAGGAAAGAGGGAGATTGCAAGCACAGCCCTGGGAGTTTTCCGTAGTGTGAGTAATGTGACTGGGGATGTAGTAATCCCGGGCATTCAGTGTCTTATATTGGAAGTGAGAAGGTAGTATGTGTGCTCTAGGCAGTTAGGGTAAAAAGACCCCAAAGAAATGTAGCCAGTTTCTGGGCTAAAAGTCAGAATGTCCTTGGGTCTGTTAGCAACACACTTTGTTCTAAAGGCCAAAAATGTCAAAATGTCAAAAGTATTTTGGAGTTTGTATCTAATCCTTAAAAGATTTTTAAGGTTACCTCTTCAGAGGGGGGAATGTTGGAGGGGAGGGAGTGGCCATGGATTTGATCAAAGCACCTTATATGCATGTATGGAATTCTTAATAAAGTTTTTGTAAAAGTTAAAAAAAAAATCATATGATCCATCCGAAAAAAAAAAAGAATTAAAACTTAGACTACTAGACAGCCTGAGAGGGTGGGTTTCAACCTCCATCATTGTAGTGGCTCTGATTTCAGCAGACTACCAGAGAATGCTGAGTTCTCGCTGCCCTCTGGCCTCCTCTGGCAGAGGACCTGAGAACTTAGGTGACTGCTTGAGAACCCCCATCCTGCCTCCACGTGGCTAATTGCACCATACCCACCCTCCTACCTGGGATTTCATGAGGCCCCTCCCAAGGCCCCAGGGCGGATCTGGCTTTGGTAGGCTAAGGCTGAGATCCAAGCAGACAGCCTGAGGATGGGTTTCAACCTCCATGGTGTAGCAGCTGTGATTTCAGCAGACCACTAGAGAGTGCTGAGTTCTGGCCTCCCTCATGTGGTGAAGGAAGCCTGAGTGTACCTGACTGGAACCTGAATTGGGCTTCTGTGGGTACTCCTGAATAGCTGAACTGAAGTCATCAATTCCCTCCAAATTAACCCTGGGAGAACCTGAACCCTGTACCAACCAGCTTTACATAACCAATAAAGAAAGGAACTAGGCACCCCGATAGTACAAACAGAAGCATACTTCAACGTACTTCTCATATCAGAATCATAAGCAACAGAAGAAATTCACATGCTGTATTAGGATTTTCCAAAGAAACATAACTGGTAGAATGAATATATATGTATAGAGATTTATCAGCTTAGCTCACAGGATAGAGTCTGAGTAGTCCAACAATGGCTGCACCACACTGGAGAGGCTGAGAATCCATAGTCGCGTCGCTTAGTCCACGAGGCTGGATGTCTCAGTAGTCCCAATCTGGCACTGAAGGTCTGACAAATTCCAAAAGATCAGCTAGTCTTCAGTCTCCAGCAGCAAAACAAACTCACCAGTCAGAAAGAAGGCAAGCAGCAAGAAGCCCAGTGTTCTCCTCTGCCATGGCCTTTTATAATAGGCTGCCATCAGAAGGTAACACCCACATTTAGGGCATGTCTTCCAGCTTCAGATGATCCAATTAAGAAGATCTCTCTCATTTCAGTTAATTCCAGATCCAGTCAAGTTGACACCCAGGATTAGCCATCACACATGCCAAAATCACAACGAAAGAGTAATAAAATGGAAAGCCAAAACACTCTGTCCCCACCAAACTCCACCAGGCCTGTAGAAGAGTTCTGCAAGGAGAAGCCCCTAGAGATAACCCAGGACACTGAATTTAAAAGAACAATTGCAAACATGATCAAGGAATTCAACAAATTTAAAGAACACATGAACAAACAAATCAAAGAGCTAAAAAAGATAGGGACAACTTCTGAATGAATTCACAAAAGAGACAAAAACATTGAAGAAAACTCAGGCAGAAATGAAGAAGGAAGTGAAAAACTCAGTAAGGCAGCTTGAAACATCAGGGGAAAGCCTCATGGCTAGAATGAATGAAATGGAAAATAGAATATCAACACTGGAGGATAAAGTTGAAGAATTGGACCACTCAAGCAGAGATTATGGAAAATTTTAAAAAACACAGGAATGGAATATGCAAGAGATGTGGGACACCATGAAAGGACCAAATGTACAGATCATAGGAATAGAGGAAGGAGAATTTCAGGTTAATTGTGTTGACCAAATCTTAAACAGGATTGTAGAAGAGAATTTCCTGAAATTAAGGAAAGACATCCCCATACAAATACAGGAAGCGTGGTGGCGCATGCCTTTAATCCCAGCACTTGGGAGGCAGAGGCAGGTGGAGCTCTGTGGGTTCAAGGCCAGCCTGGTCTACATAGTGAGTTCCAGGAAAGCTGGAGCCATAGGGAGACCCTGTCTCAAAAAGACCAAAAAAACAAAACAAAACAAAACAAAACAAAAAAACACAAGTACAGGAAGCACATAGAACACCAAGTAGAATCAGAAAAGAAACTACCCATGACATATCATAATAATAATACTAAATGTACAGAACAAAGAATACTGAAAGCAGCAAAAGAAAAACAAGTCACATACAAAGGAAAACCCATCAGAATTACAGCTGACTTATCAATGCAAACTATGAAAGCTGGAAGAGACTGTGCCAAGGTATTGCCAATTCTACATGACAATAGATGCCAGCCCCACAAAACCAGCCTTTCAGAGAATACTTGAAGCAATACAGAGAGCTGAGATAAAAACAACTATATCCCAGGGGCAACAAAAGAAAATAAATAAAGGTATAATCGAGGAAACGCAAAATTAGAGAACACAAACAGTAATCAAAATGACGACAACCAATACACACCTTTCAATAATAACCTTCAATATCAATGGACTGAACTCCCCAGTCAAAAGATACAGGCTATT